TGAAAGAACTAAAAAGTTGAAAAATAGAAATCGAGAAATCGAAAAATCCAAAATATCGCAAAATTGAAACACCGAGAAATTCAAAGATCAAAAAATCAAAAAATAAAAATTCGAAAACCGAAAAAAATTAAAAAATTTAAAAATCGGGTGGTTGAAAAATCGAAAAATCGAAAAATGGAAATATCGTAAAATTGAAAAGCCCAAAAGCAAAAAATTGAAAAACGAAGAAATCAAAATATCGAAACATCGAAAAATTCAAAAAATGAGACATCGAGAAATCGAGAAATCAAAAGGTCGAGAATCGACGAGTCCAAAAACCGAGAGGAGAAGTTAAAAATTGAAAAATTGATGAAGATATTGAACAATCAAATTATCAGAACATCTGAATTCGATAAAAGGAAAAATCAAAAAATTGAAAAATGAAAAAATTTTAAAAAAGAAAAATTGGAAAATCGAAAATTTAAAAATTTGAAAAATTGAAAAATTGTAATAAAGAACTGAAAACTCGAAAACTCGAAAAGTTGAAAACTTGAGAAATCGAGATATAAAACAGTCGAAAAATTGAAAAATCTGAAGTTTAACGAAAAATTCAAAATCCAAAAAGCAAAAAATCGAGAAATCAAAAAATCCAGGAGTTCAAAACTTGAAAAGTCGAAAAATCGAAATATTTAAAAATCCCAAACCTGAAAGAAATTTTAAAAAAATTGGAAAACTGGGAAATTGATAAACTAAAATTAAAAACAAAGTCGAAAAATCGAAACAACAAAGAATTTAAAAATCTAAAATTTCAAAATTCGGCAAATTGTTTTCTAAAAAATTGATAAATAGAAATCCAAAAATCGAAAAATCTAACATTTTAAAAAATGAATAATTAAAAAATCGAGAAATCGAAACATCAACATTCGAAAGGTTAAAAAATCTAAAATATAAAAACCAAAAAGATGAAAAATTGAAGGATTGAAGTATTGAAAAATTCCAAAACTGAAATATCGAAAAATTTAAAAGTCCCAAACCTGAAACCTCGAAAAATAAAGGAATCAAGAAATCAAAAATTTTTAAATGTTAAATAAAAATTATCGATTAAATAAATGAAAGATAGCAAAATGGAGATAACGAATAATTAAGAAATAGAAATTTGAAAAACGGAGATATCCAAAAACCAAAAAAGGAGGAATCGAAAAGTATCAAAACCGAAGTCGAAAAATGGAAAAACTGAAAAATCAAAAACTTCAAAATCGAAAAACTGAAAACTGAAAAATCGAAACACTGAAAATCGAGAAATGGGAAAATAAAAATATAAATTAAACGAGACATCGACAAACAGAAAAATTGGAAAATCGAAAAGATAAAAAATCGAAAATTTTCAAAATCGAAACATTAAGAAAACGAAATATCAAAAAACAAAAAAATCTAAAATTTAAAAATTCGAAAAATTGTTTTCAATGGAAGAACTAAAAATTGGAAAATCTGAAATTTTGAAAATTGAACGATTGAAACATCGAAAAATTGAAAAATCGTTAAATCGAAAAGTTGGAAAATCGAAAAATTTGGGGATCGAAATTTTGAAAAAGTAATGCCAAAACTGAAATATTGAAAAATTGGAAAATGGAAAAGAATCGAAAAATTTTAAAGTTCAAAAACTAAAAAATTAAAATAAAGAAGAACTGAAAACTTGAGAAATCGAAAATCTTAGAATTTTCAAAATTGAAAAATTTAAGCATTGAAAAGTTGAAAAATTGAGAAATCGAGTTATAAAACAGTCGAAAAATTGAAAAATATAGAGTTAAGGAAAAACTAAAAATTCAACAAGTAAAAAATCGAGAAATCAAAAAACCAAGGAATCCAAAAATCGAAATATTGAAAAATCGCAAAACCAAAAGAAATACCCAAAAAATTGAGAAATTAAAAAATTGCAATATTAAGAAATCGAAAAACTAAAAGACCAAAGTCGAAAAATCGTAAGCTTTTTCGAAAAATTGAAAAATCAAAAACTTGCAAAATAGAAAAATTGAAGAATTAAAAAAATTGAATCTTTGGGAAATCGACAAATGGGAAAATAAAATCGAAATATTTAAAAATCGTAAAACTGAAGAGGAAAAATTGAGAAATCGTATCATTGAAACATAGAAAATCTGAGAAATCGAAAAATAAAAAAATCGAGAAATCGAAAATTTGAAGAACTGAAAAATTGAAAAAGCCCCAAATTAGTAGAAAAATTGACACATCTAAAGTGGAAATATGGAGAAACCGAAAAGCCGAAAAATCTCGATAGCGTTATACCATTTGTAGATAAATCGCTTAGAGACGATATTGGCCTGCCTGTGCTCTGGTCTGTACATCAAACAAGTTCTCAGGCGACGAATTATAGCAGAAATTCCAACGAATTTAGAAAAAATTCCTGTGAATTCCGATAAAATTCAAAACAAATTCACTTTTTAACAAGAAATTCTTGTAATTCATAGGCAACTTTAAAAATTCCAGATAACTCAGAGAAACTTTGGTTTCGATTAATTCCACAATTCCAACAATTCAGTAAGTAGTACAACAATTATAGCAAAAATTTCGACCAATTTAGAAAAAAAATATCTCCGTTTAAAGGTGGTTCGTTATTAGGTAAAAGATTGTTATGATTAAATCAAGGTAACATTCCGATCTTGATTAATAATAATAGATGCTTCATCATTTTTGCGAGGTTAAAGTCAATTTCCGTCAGTTTCTGCGTTTTCTGGACCCATAACCTGATATTGTGACGTAAGACGCAAACACATAATTAAACGTATATTAATTTGGACATGCATACATCATTTGGACACTATTAAACGGTCGATTCAGTACGACCAAGACGAACATGTTCGCCACTATATAACCACTCGAAGTCTTGAAAAACCCACCTGAATGAGCACGAGTGACACAATTTTAGTTCTTATCAAAGTCATTCAAAATATATATTTACCTCAATCTATTGTTAATTGAAAAACAATGACCGAACTCAGGATCTAGATGGACTTAAATTTTAAAGATAAGATTAAACTTAGGATCTATTTAAGTTTAGTGTAAATAAAAAAAAATTGTCGAGTCTGGTTTTTATTAATTAATCGAGATATTATCATGTCACTGTTTTTGAATCTTTATGTCATTATGTAGGGGCGTTTTATATATACTAACCACCTACATTCCCTTTGGGGGTACCCCTTTTCATTTACCTGAAACCACTTAACCCAATTTATTGTTTCATTTATGCTTTGAAGGTCCGTGTTGTATTTACGGATTTTATTTACCTGTGGGTCCTGTGTGCAATTTGAAAATGTATTTGTCAATTTGTTGATTGAAATGAGTGTTCAGGACGCGTTGCTCGCTTAAACTGTCACTACTGATTTTATTTTCTACAAATTTTATTATGACACGGAATGAAACTTTATGCACTAAATATCGCCCAGGACGTGAAGAGACTGTAATTTTTGTCCATATTTCGCGAAGTTCGATGTCGAGTCCGCGTCCACCTTAAAAATCCCATTTCTTGTTTTGTTAATTGATGGCTCCGTTCGACTGTTCTTTCTTATCTGATTCTCCCGAGATAGTTTATAGCAGGTTTGTTATCTTAAGCTGGAAATATTTATCCGGGAACGTAATTAATAATTCTCTCGACAAACAAATCCCGTCCAATAATATTTCACAGTGAGAGACATAATTTACTTACAAAATCCGGTGAAATAGTCCAAAGTTGTAGCCTGTATTTTATGGACTATCGATTTACAATAAACCATTGCATTAGCTATTGACATGGCTATACGAATTTAAGTATCGCGACATAAATTTATTTTAAATTTTTACTGAGACGTAACGAAAATGGCAGCAATTCGCTAATGACGCGACCTCAACGGTGAGAAGATCACCCATAAAGCGAAATGTTTACAACTCCAGCTCTTCCGAAAATGAAATAAATAGTGAACAGTTTGCAAAGCGATAAAGCGCTAAATTGTAAATCCTGCGGTAAAGTTCTGCTCGGACGCGGAAGGGATTAAATAGGGCGAAAAGGGCTACGGCAAGTGTTGGTTTATAGTTGGACCGTAAGCAGGTGAGGCCGCTTCAAATTTAAAATGAAATGAATAGCAAGGGCTTAGCATTAATCACCTTAGTTCTGAATTCCGCAAACTTGTTTGCTTTAATTTCAAACGAAAGCGAGAACAGCAAAGTCAGGAAAAAAAAGAAAAGCGGTGTTTTGAGAGCGGACTCAAAAAGCATTTGTTACAACTGTGACTAACCTACTATAAATTATAGTCAAACAAGTTAGCAATAAAAACAAACATGATAACGATAGTCGTTATATTAATTTAATGTTTCGGGTATGACCGGGTAAATAAAAACGTTGCAATATTTACTGATACTGTAATTCGATAAAATGAGTGAGTCGGAGCGTTTTCGCCCAATTCTACATAAATAAAGCAATTACGGTCCGTTAAATCTACAACGCTATCAGTGACAAAGATAACTGAATTTGACTGATAACTATTTATAAAAAATACGATACTACAATAATAGTCGAACTGACCGCTCTAATTTCGTCTTAGATCCTAAGCCCGTCCCAAAATCCTCTAAAAAAGCGCTATTCCTCACAAACCGGCCGGCTTTCTCCCAATCTGAAAATCGGAAGTGCGACTAATCTATTTCGGCTCTTTAACCCTCCGGTAAAAATGTAAATCCGTCCAGGTTTTTACCACATTCGGACCCTCCTCATGTTCAAACGCGACCATCACCGTGTTTATAAATTACCTTTTTGGTTTCTCTCCGCCGTTTGTTTGAATAGACGGCTTCCGGTCTCTGGAGTCGGGACGTCGCGGAACTTTATTTACCGCATCCTAGAGATGTCTTTTCATTTTTCAAAGGGTTTTTTCGAAGGATGTGAATGGGGATGCAAAATGATTTTTCCGGGAGTTTTTTAGCGAAAGCGCCTGCTTGGCAGGTATTGGCAAACATTAACCGATAAGGCTTATCTGCCGATAAAGTATCGATAAAATATCGAAGAGGCGACGAGAGGACACGTATTGGAAGGGTGTCTGCGTTAAAACTTGTTTTTGTTGGTTAAGGGAAAAGGATGCCTGAGTACGAACGACTGGAAGGAGAAGGTGGCTGGTGAGTACCGATTTTTGTTTTTTTGTGAAGATTAATGATGGTTGTAGTGGGGCGTCATGGAGGGCACTCACGTCCTTGGAGAAGAAGTTGATGTTTCTGAGTATTCTTTTGGGGATCGTTGTGTTTGCGCTAACCTTGGCCCTAGCGACTCATAAGTGTCCAGGTATTTTTATTATGCTAATAATATTTATCTTTGATTAACCTCAAAGGTCTAACTTGCCGTTCCAAGCTTTATCAGCGAGTGTTATCAGTGAACAAACTGCGCCTCAGACAGTTTATAACTTTTTCGATTCAGGGCCGGCACCCATAACTACCACTTCACCAGTGACTCCCACCACCCCAAAATCTTCATCTTCGTCAGGCCCTACGACCACAGCATCTTCATCTTCTTCAAGCCCTACGACCACAGCATCTTCATCTTCTTCAGGCCCTACGACCACAGCATCTTCATCTTCTTCAGGCCCTACGACCACAGCATCTTCAACTTCTTCAACGAGTTCTTCGTCTCCAACGGTACCGACGACTCAGAGTACTTCATCTTCCACCAGTGGTGTTTCTTCTACGCAAGAGTCATCGTCTGCGTCTACGGATTCCAGGTCTTCCTCTTCAACACAATGAGGGTCTAAATGTTACATCATAATTTCACGTATCGCGATTTATACAAAATGTGTTAATCAATTTTTTAATAAAACCTCCGACAGTGTCTGAGAACACCAATGTTTGTCTATGTTTTCGTGTTGTCAACACAACCAATTCTTCCACGTCTGCATCCTTAAATAAAACAAACATCACCTCAATACTCATTAATGTTTCCTACCTAAAGAGGCAATCGTTTACCCTTAGTTCGAAACTCGCATTTCTCAGCAAGGCAGCTTTCCAATATTCTCTCGAACAAAATTGATTAGCTTTCGGTGGAGCTTTGGAAGTTTTTCAACTAATTGATATGAAGTTTTTAAATATTTCAACCTGTTTATCTGCGAAGTGAAATAAATTCATTCTGTCATCGCGCAAATTGGCACTTGCCGGAGTTGATTGCGGTTTGTTTGTCGAATTTTTATTCCTGATGGATGAACAAGGGGAAGAATATTTCAAGACAGACTGAGTTTTGAGTAAACACACCTGCTCCGTCATTAATTTTCGAGTAATTAGGGAAATTAAGCTGCGCATTAATTTCAAAGTTGTTTCAACAACTCCAGGTAAGTGCACGTCTTATTCAGCTTGGTTGATGGGTTTACGGGTAGAGAACGTTGCGTCGTGACATTGAACCAAGCTGCTATGAAACTTGAAATTAGTGGAGGGAATTTATGAGTAAACTGTTTTACTAAAACTACTGACTCGACGGATTTTTTTGATAAAGATATTCGCCCGAAGCGCTATTTACGCTTTAAAAATTTTATTAATTTTAAACAAATTTGTTGGTTTTATTTGAATAGCTCGGGGAAAACTGGCCACAAATCCTTAATTAATAGAAAATTCTCAATCAGATGGTGTAACTTTATTTTTCCGATGTAGCAGTGAATATAAAATAGATAATTTAAAATGTTTAACAATTTTAATCGCTTTTTGTGATCTTATTTGAAATATTCCGGCAACTCTGGCCATAGAGCAAGTTTGTAGTGCATCGTACATTGAAAGAACAAGGCTTATATACTTACCACGCTCAAAAAGTGCAAGCTTTGGAGCCCCCTGATTTTCCTCATCGTATAATTTACTGCGAATGGTTATTATAGCAATGTCGTGAACCCCCTAACTTTTTAAATTGTTTTTACAATCTTTAGAATCTCCAGGATCTTCAGGATCTCCAGGATCTCCAGGAGCTCCAGGACCTCTAGAATCTCCAGGATTTCTAGATCCTAGAATCATTAGAAACCTCAGGATCTCTACGACCTCTAAGACCTCTATGACTTCTAGAACCTTTAGGACCTCTAGCATTTCTAGGATCTCCAGGATCTCTAGGATCTCTAGGATTTCTAGAATTTCTAGAATCTGTATGATCTTAACGATCTCTAGAATATCTAGGATCTCCACGATCCTAAGTGCCTCCAAGAGCTCTAGGAGCTCCGGGGTCTCTAGAATCTCTAGAATCACTAGGATTTGTAGATCGCTAAGATCTCTAAGAGCTCTAGGATTTCTAGAAGCTCTAGGGTTTCTAGGATATCTAGGATCTCTATGCTGTCTAAGATTTCTAGGATCTCTAGGATCTCCAGGATCTCTAGGATCTCTAGGATTGTTAGGATCTTTAGTACCGCTAAGATCTCTAGGAACTCTAGAATCTCTGGGAACTCTAGGATCTCTAAAACCTCTAAGACCTCCAGGAGCTCTATCATCTCTAGGATTTTTAGGATCTCTAGGATTTCTAGAATGTCTAGGATCTCTAGAAAATCTAAAATCTCAAAGGATCTCTAGGATCTTTAAAATCTCCAGGATCTCTAGGATCTTTACCATCTCTAGGATCTCTAGGATCTCTAGAAACTCTACATACAATCTCTAGAATCTTTAGACTCTTTAAACTTTTTAGATTTTTCAGACTCTTTAGAATCTTCAAACCCATTCGACGCTTTAGACACTTTAGAGACTCTGGAATCTCTAGAATCTCTAGAATCTTTATAGTCTTTAGAGTCGTCTGAGCTTTTAGAGTCTTTAAAGTCTTTAGGAACTTTAGGATCTTTACGGTCTTTAGGATCTCTAGGATCTTTAGGAGCTCTTTGGACTCTTTGGACTCTTTCGACCCTTTGGACTCTTTGGACTCTTTGGACTCTTTAGACTCTTTAGACATTGTAGACTCTTCAGACCTTTTAAATTCTTTAGACTCGTTAGACTCTGTAACCTCTTTCGACGCTTTAGAATTCTTAGAGACTCTAAAATTTCTAGAATCTATAGAGTGTTTACAGTTTTTAGAATCATAAGATCTCTAGGATATCTAGGACCTCAGTGAACTGTACGATCTCTAGGATCTCTAGGATCTCCAGGCTCTCAAGGAGCTCCAAGACCTGTAGCATCTCCAAGATCTCTAAAATTTCTGGGATCGTTAGGATCACTAGGATCGCTAAGATCTCTAGGAACTCTAAAATGTCTAGTAACTCTAGGAGGTCTAGAATCTCGTGGTCTCTAGAATCTCTAGGATTTCTAGGATTTCTAGAATTTCAAGGATCTGTATGATATCAAAGATCTCAAAGATCTCTAGGATTTCTGGATTATCTAGGATCTCTGGGATCTCTAGGGTATATAGGATCACTAGGATCTCTAGAATCTCTAGAACCCTTCGAATCTTTAGGATCGCTAAGATCTCTAGAAACTCTAGGATCTCTAGAATCTGTAGGAGGTATAAAATCTCATAGTTTTTCGTATTCCTAGGATTTCTAGGATGTCTGAAAACTATAGAATCTCTAAAAGCTCTAAGACTTCTAGGACCTTTAGGATCTCTAGGATTTCTAAAATTTCTAGAATCTGTATGATCTTAAAGATCACTAGAATATCTAGGATTTCCAGGATCCCAAGTGCCTCCAAGAGCTCTAAGATCTCCGGGGTCTCTAGAATATCTAGAATCATTAGGATTTGTAGATCGCTAAGATCTCTAAGAGCTCTAGGATCTATAGAATCTCTAGGGTCTTTAGGATATCTAGGATCTTTATGATGTCTAAGATTTCTAGGACCTCTTGTATCTCCAGGATCTCTAGGATCTGTAGGATTGTTAGGATCTTTAGTACCGCTAAGATCTCTAGGAACTCTAGGTTCTCTAGAATCTCTAGGATTTCTAGGATCTCTAGGATTTCTAGGATCCCTAGGATTTCTGGAATATCTAGGATCTCTAGAAACTCTAAAATCTCAAAAAATTCTATAACCTCGAGAACCTATAGGATCTCTAGGATCTCTAGAATCTCCAGGATCTCTAGGATCTTTACCATCTATAGGATCTCTAGGATCTCTAGAAACTCTACATACAATCTCTAGAATATTTTTAGACTAATTAGACTTTTTAGATTTTTCAGACTCTTTAGAATCTTCAAACCCATTCGACGCTTTAGACTCTTTAGCGGCTCTGGAATCTCTAGAATCTTTATAGTCTTTAGAGTCGTATAAGCTTTTAGAGTCTTTAAAGTCATTAGGAACTTTAGGATCTTTACGGTCTTTAGGATCTCTAGGATCTTTAGGAGCTCTTTGGACTTTTTGGAGTCTTTAGATTCTTTGGACTCTTTGGGCTCCTTAGACTCTTTAGACTTTGTAGACTCTTCAGACCCTTTAAATTCTTTAGACTCGTTAGACTCTGTAACCTATTTCGACGCTTTAGACTTCTTAGAGACTCTAAAATTTCTAGAATCTCTAGAGTGTTTATAGTTTTTAGAATCATTAGGATCTAAAGGATATCTAGGATCTCTATGAACTGTACGATCTCTAGGATCTCTAGGACCTCCAGGCTCTCAAGGAGCTCCAAGATCTCTAAAATTTCTGGGATCGTTAGGATCACTAGGATCGCTAAGATCTCTAAGAACTCTAAAATATCTAGAATCACATGGTCTCTAGAATCTCTAGGATTTCTAGGATTTCTAGAATCTCTAGGATTTCTGGAATATCTAGGATCTCTGGGATTTCTAGGGTATATAGAATCTCTAGGATCTCTAGCATCTCTAGAATCTCTAGAACCCTTAGAATCTTTAGGATCGCTAAGATTTCTAGAAATTCTAGGATCTCTAGAATTTGTAGAAGGCATAAAATCTCATGGTTTTTCGTATTCCTAGGATTTCTAAGGGAACTCTAGAATCTATAAAACCTCTAAGACTTCTAGGACCTTTAGGATCTCTAGGATTTCTAGAATTTCTAGAATCTGTATGATCTTAAAGATCTCTAGAATATATAGGATCTCCGGGGTCCCAAGTGCCTCCAAGAGCTCTAGGATTTCCGGGATCTCTAGAATCTCTAGAATCATTAGGATTTGTAGATCGCTAAGATCTCTAAGAACTCTAGGATCTCTAGAATTTCTAGGGTCACTAGGATATCTAGGATCTCTATGATGTCTAAGATTTCTAGGATCTCTAGGATCTCCACGATCTCTAGAATCTCTGGGATCCTTAGGATCTTTATTACTGCTAAGATCTTTAGGAACTCTAGGTTCTCTAGAATCTCTAGGAGCTCTAGGATCTCTGGGAACTCTAGGATCTCCAAAACCTCTAAGACCTCTAGGAACTCTATCATCTCTACGATTTCTAGGATCTCTAGAGTATCTACGATCTCTAGGATCTGTAGGATCTCTAGAATCTCTAGAATCCCTAGAATCTTTAGGATCGCTAAGATCTCTAGAAACTCTAGGATCTCTAGAATCTGTAATAGGTGTAGAGTCTCATGATTTTTCGTATTCCTAGTATCTCTAGGATTTCTAGAATTTCTAGAATCTGTATGATCTTAAAGATCTCTAGGATCTCTAGAATCTCCAGGATCCCAAGTGCCTCCAAGAGCTCTAGGATCTCCAGAATCTCTAGAATCATTAGGATTTGTAGATCGCTAAGATCTCTAGGAACTCTAGGAACTCTAGAATCTCTAGGATCTCTAGGATATCTAGGATCTCTATCATGTCTAAGATTTCTAGGATCTCTAGGATCTCCAGGATATCTAGAATCTCTAAAATCGTTAGGATTTGTAGATCGCTAAGATCTCTAGGATCTCTGGGAACTCTAGAATATCTAAAACCTCTAAGACCTCTAGGAGCTCTATCATTCTAGAAT